TGGCAGTTATTTCTGAGATCTGTAGAGAATGCTTAAAAGGCTGGAAAAGGTCAAACATATTGGCTATTCAAAAATAAAAGGGATCTGATCAATTACTGGCTAGTCAGCTTTATTGCCTCCCCCTGTGATCCTGGAACAAATAAACATTAAGCAGACAACTCACATTTTCCATTTGTCAGAAAAAGAAACCATGTCAAACCAATCTTTCAGGGTAGACCAAAAAGCCTTGTGGATAAGGAAGTAACAATAGATGTAATATATTTTTACTTCAGGAAGGATTTAGATTCTGTTTCATCTGACAGTCTTGCAAACCAGCCAGGAGACATGGGAAACTGGACCTACTGAAAGAAAGAACGAATTACACTGAGTTAGGATGGGGAATAGCCAGGCAGAGACCTCTATTTTTGAAGGCCCAGGCAGAGTGCTGTCCATCAAACTCAGGCTAGCTGAGGGATGCAGGACCCAAAATAGCCTTTTCAGGAACTGTACCATTTTCTTTTCTCACCTCTCCGGGAGTTAATGGGGCCCCCTGATATTTCGGTTCTTACTGCCTAAATATGTACACACACTTTCCAGCCTAATGTAGGCAATTCTTACCTGCTGCCATCAGCTGTCCCAAAGCAAAAAATAAATCAGCAGTCCATCAGCCAGTTGAACACATGCTTTTCCCAAACACTACAAGAACCTCCCATTCTCCACCTGCCTGTGCAAGGACTCTCCCCTCAGGCTGGAGCTGCAGACCCAGTCACTGGCAGGGCAAAAATCCCTTACCCGTGTCTCCAGTTCAGCCGAGGTGAGTGGCCAACCTGACACTGGCCCTGTGGCAGAGCTGCTAATAAATGCAATGTATTTACTGGCTCTGTGACACAGTTTTAATGCTAGCATTGTGTGTGTATTTGTCCATGGGCATACCACTGAAACAAAAATTCAGAGCTTCCAAACCCCCTTGCACTCCTCACTGCAGTGGGAGGCTGGTGTGGCTGGGTGAGGAGTCTGAGCTCAAGACCCAATAACAACAAAAAAAAGCTGTTATTGAGCAGACACTTTTTATTGCAGCGCTGGGCAGCACTGGGGATTGTCCACCAGGAGTGCTCCAACGAGTCAGTGAAACACCCCAACTAATATACACCAAACACATGCATATTCAGTTTTATATCAGTGAGTTCCGGGAATTCTTTTACATAGTCATTTTATTCCCTGGAATTGGCTGTCTTTGTAATTATGCGTGCTCGAGGGTCTCCTCTGAGGGTCTTTGTTGATTCTAGTCCTTTGCCCTGTCTCAGTCCTGGTCCTGTCTCCAGCCTCCCACTGGTAATTGCCCAGGTGGGTCAGAATCAACATGTGGGCTGTCTGTAGTCGCCACAGGTTCTTAGAAGACTTGATGTTATCACAACCTGCAGGATGCTTGGCATAGTTGACTGATAGCTTAATTTAAAAAGTAAACCTTAGCATAGCAAATTCCTTATTTTAGTAAATTTTCATTAGGCTATATTTCTATTGAATTTACTAATGAATATCCTATGACTACCCCCCCACACACACCCCGCTTGGCTCCAGCGGCGGGCAAGGGGCACTGGCAAAGCCCCTGCTGGTGTCCTCTGTGTCACCGGAGCTGGGGAACCGGCCCCGGGGCGGCGGGGGGAGGGATGCGGGAGGAGGGAT